CTTGTTTACCTTCAAGCTTTTAAGACCCCAGACGCTATATCTTTTGATAGCCGGGCACCATCAGCTTTCTTCACCACATTTGCTCATTCACCTGATTTGTCTTCAGTGGTTGTGTCAGGAAGGTGAGCATCATAGAATGCTAATTTAATAGAAGAAAGTTTTCTTGCTTTGAGGGAGTACTTGAGTGGAGGCCCAATGTCCTGCTACCTTAATACTAAACATATAATATAGGCACATAGATCTATTCCCCATCCTCTCCACTGGTTCCCTACTCTGCCCCGGCATGTTGTATTCACACTTTGGAGCACTGGGTTGAAGTCTGGTCCCTCCTTTCCTGTAGCAATATAAACAATACCCTCCCCTTGGGTGGGTTAGCATCCCGTGCCCCCTCTACCAATTTCTTCCTTATTTTCATCACTTTTGTTCCCTTTCCCCACCTCCTCCCCAGTTTTCTATCATGTGCATCCCTGCATTTGATGTACAGACATTTTCATCTGCGAATTTCCAGTTCAAAATGAGTTGATATAAGGCAGATTATAGCCAACCTCTCTCAACTATATCCCTGTGATTTTCATTCCATCCTTTTCTTTTCATCTCTCCTTTTTAAGTTCATTATGTTACTATATTTTCTTATCTATTATTTTTATTTACTGATCATTGAAAGACATCCTTAAAAGAAATGGAACATTAAAAGAACAAAAAAATGGCTGAGGAAAATGAAGTATTGCAGTGCTCAAATCTGGTCCAACTCAATGAGCATTATTAAAAGTAATATAACTGCACCCACTTTTTCTAACTTACCTGATCTGGCAGACTGTGAGTATTGAGTTCTAGAGATACTTGAACCATGCCTTTCTCTTTTGATATCTTGAGGAAACCCTTATATTTTGTTTGGGTGAATGAAATGACAAATGATTGCTTAAAAATTAAAATTAGAAGATATAAGATTTTTAAAGTGTCTGCCATACTAATTAGCTCATAGCTGGTGCCATACTTATTAGAACATAGCTGTTATTCAGCTTATTTCTATTCTCTCCTATAGAAGAGAGGATTCATGAAAGTCTTGTTGATAACACCCATTTTCCCAAAGGACCCTAAAATGCTCCCTGTGTTCTGTGGACACTTGGTTCAAGTCCAGGTCTATGTCTTCTGGACTAGCATCAGTACAGAGGGTGCCACACTAGTATTCCACTGGAACTATATGCCAACACTAGCCTCTCACAATGTTTCTATTTTACTCATAACTTTCTCTCCTTCCTTCTCCAATTTAAGTTATCTAACAATGCATCATTTTTTAGTACTATATGCTCTAGTATTTCTAATATTATTGAGAGAAAAATATGGGAAGTAATTCTCCCTTGCTGATGTCTGAGGATGACAGAGTACAATGGACTTTGACAACATCACTCTTATCAGGATGAGAAGAAGAAGAATAGACAGCCTGACAATGATGCTTAATTTGAATAGAAGATACAAGTGAACATTTAGAACCAGTGGCCATATAATGAAGTTTGTGTTTAGTATATGGGATTTGAAAAAAGCCAGACCTATCAATATTTCCTCTGCAGTAATTGATCATTCTCATGTATAGACATCAAGTACTGACTCCCCAAAGGCTATTGGGAAAGAAGAGTCCCCTAAAAGAAGAGAATGAAATGATTTAATATGTCTCTCTCTCTCTCTCAGGTTGCTTTTGATGCTTTCAAAAGAACACTTCTAAGTGACATTGCCCTGGATGATATTAGTCTTGCGTATGGTGTTTGCAATGCAAGTCTTTACCCGGAACCAACTTTGGTCCCCACTGCTCCCCCTGAACTTCCAAGTAAGTGTCTTTAGGGGGTATTTTCCTACATGCACTCATAACTATTTTAGGAAGATTTTGGCTTATTTTTATTACCTTAATATATTTTTCCACTAAAGTTAAGAGACTTCTTTACAAGTACTTAATATCTTGCTTTGCTTCAGATTTAGGGAAACATGTCTGCAACCTTTCATTTTTTAAAATAATAAAGATGCTGATTTCCATGTTCCATTTATATTCAATGGAATATAAATGAGTACAGTACTGGTTATGTGACACGGACCAGAAATTTTTGGAGAAGGTTTCATTAGTGTTCCCGAGGAGAATTTTAACATCTCAAGAAGGGTTTGAGGAAACCTAGAAGTATATTTTAGTAAAAGCCTAAAAGTAAAAGCCACGGTATATTTTCAGGGTAAATCAATACACAAATTGAGCCTGGATTTTAAACACACACACCTGGATCATACAAGCCAGTTGTCTTGAGATTTCGCTTCTTTAAGACTTTGCAGTATTCTCCCTGCAAAGCCATTACTATTATGTAATTGAAAAATGGCATGAATTCCCAGCATGCTTCCTGTAACTTTTTATCATTTGAAAGAACAAAATGGAGCCTGTGCCTATGTTGGCACTTACGTCAAATTGGAAACATGGCATTTCAGGCACAAGGGACATTACAATTCACCTTACTAATATTAAAGGAGGCAAGTTTTCCATAGTTCTCTTCAAGCTGTGGGATTTGAAAGAAGAAAACGTGTAATGATAGACAAGATGTAACAGATATTCTCCTGTTGTGTCTGTGGTCATTGTGCTTTGCTGCTATTGAGTTGATTTCAATTCTTAGTGATTCCATACATTAATCATCAGAATTGCTACACAAGGCTCTCTTCACTGAACTCTTATCTGAATCAGACCACAAGCCCTCTCTTCCATGTAGTTGCTGGGGGGATTGGAAGCAGCCTTGTTAATTGCCATTGAGTTGATCTTGATCTGTAAACACAGCATGTTTGCAGAGTGGAGCTGCTTCATAGAGAGGCAAAGTCATAGTCTCTCTCTCTCTCTCTCTCTCTCTCTGTCTCTAAAGATAGATATAGATACAGATATGTGTATGTACATATATAAAATAAATTATATATGGATGATTTATTTATTTTTAATTGGAGCTCATACATATATAATCATATCATTCCACAGTTCAATCATGTCAAGCAGTATTGTAGAATTACCACCACAACCACTTTCCAAACATTCTTTTCTTTCCTGGACTCCTTAAAATTGCCTCCCTTTGACCCACACCCCTTTAGGAAAAAGATGGCTAAGCACAACTTCCAAAATATTGTTAGGTGGATGAGATATGTGGCCCTTTTCCTTTGTCGTTGATTGCTTAGCCATTTGCACCACTGAGGAACGTATGCTTCTTACATTAGAATGTTTTTCACTAGATTGTGGTTTTATCTTTGGAGGATGGTGTTTGAAATTTGATTGCTCTGCAATGCTGCTTGAGTTAACCTCATTTTTGTTCTTTCATGGCTCCTTCCAAGATGGTATGAAAGCTTTCCATGGTCCTATCAGCATATCAATTTAATGGGTCTATTCAAATTTGCTTTTACTTCCAAATCTATATATTTTTCTGGCTTCTAATATTTAAAATTATCGGACTAATGCTTTAATAAGTCACAGGCTCTGAAAATAACTATCTAATTCTTTGAGAATATGAGTATTTATAAAGTGAGTTGCCATGAAGGTGAGATAGCAATCATATCGCCATAGGAATATGCAATTGCATATGCCATAGGCATATTGCATATTGCCATGCAATAACATTGAATGTTCATGCCCATCCCACCCACAGATTAGTTCACACTTTCCCTCATGCTTACTATAGCTGTTGTATAGGGAATATATAAATTCATTTTTTGTTTAGCTATTCATTAAAATGTATTAAAATTCTTCATAAGAAATGAAAGATATTGCAATAGTTATTGATAAAATACTTAAAGCAATGCATAATTGTGTATCCTCAAAATAATATATGAGAGAAGGATATGGTAGAGCGCTTCACTGAAGAGACTATGAGCTCAAGAAGGATTAGGAAAATAGTAGTGTTAGCTTATGAGATACTTTTCCTCAGTTCTTACTTCTCAGCCTGGAAAGAATTTGCATGGCAGAAACATGAAAGTAACTAATAATAAACTTTTATTAGTGAAACCCAAGTTTTTGATACTATATTTTCACAGATAAGAATGGGACATCTCTGGAAAGCATGGATAGGCAAGGGATTATAAAGATCTTCATCTTTTATACACTTCCATGCTGACTAGTCTCCTTCCTCCTTAACTCAGAGAGTGTTTGAATGTTGGTGGGTTTTTAGTGGATGTGTTAAAGTGTACCTGCGATATAGCAGTTCTGACAGCACATGCTTCTCCTGCAGCCCTCTAGCGCGTGCCTGATCTCTTAGGACATACCATTTTCTTCTGCGTTTGAATTGCACTTCCTTGATGATTGGTGGGCCACTTTTTGTGGGGGGTCGGGGGGCAAACCCTTTTCTCTAAGCTTCTTGCCTCTCAGAGGATAAAGATAAAATGACTCGTAAAAATTGAAGCAAAGGCAAGAAAGTACCGGGCTTTTTCATAGGTTAACATTGGCCTTAAAATTCTGTCAGAAAAGTAAGTTAAGTTTCTTGACACTACAGTATAACTCTAATTCACCTTTGCTTTACCAGTGTCTGGTTCTTAACAAATAATATAACAAATAAATATTGAAAGATCAGAAATGTTTCTCTCTTTTTCAACTGTATTTTGATTTGGGTGCCAAAATAAAAACTTTTATCAAGCAAAATTTTGGTACCAAAACTGTCTTGGAAATGATAGTTGGAGAAGGAATACCAACATGAGTACAAGAAGAGAGTACTGTGGGGCCTTGTTTCTCTTCCTGCTGTACAGGTACCCCCAGTAGGCCCAGTAGGCACATTTGAAATTCTTAATATCACTACAACATAGAACAATAATTCCTTTCAATCACAAATATTAACAATGTCTGATATTTTGATATTAAAATAACTTTAAATAGTGGGTTTTCCCCTAGGATATTGATCGTATGTTTTCTACTCATCACAAGTGATTAAGAACAAAATGTTCTAGGTAGGAATAATATAATATCATGGAATTCATAGATCCAGCATTTTTAATATAGTAAAATTTTGTTAAAATTTCAGATAACTTTTTTTTATAATGCCCTAGAGATTGAAAATCAAATGTGATTTTCCATATGAAATGTTTATTTGTGTAACACATAGTTTTCATATTCATTTCAGTCAGAAGTGAGAGAAAGATAATTTCAATGTCAAGGGAGCTTTGTATACCTACTTATGTTTACAGTAGAGAAATTATGATGGTAGAATAACTCATCTGATTTTAAAATAAAACCTTTAGAATCTGCCCAGAGTATATTTGTTCCATTTTTCAAATGGTTCGTTTCAGGGAACTATTTACCACAGCAGAAAATGTTAATTATCATCAAATTCATTCTGAACAGTTTCATTCTAATGCCGTTTGCAATTAGTTCAGTGAAATTCCTATTTGGACTTGCTTCTCTGGTTCCAGATCACTGATTTGTTTAAGCAGAGACTAAAGGAAACCACGGCTGATTGCTTAATAGTATTTCTTTCTTTCTTTTTATAGAGATTTAAATAAGTAAATAGTCTCAGAAAAGTAACTGAACAGTAAAACTCAATTTCTCCACTCATTCAAAGGATCCAGAGAAGTTCTGTTTTCATAACTTCAGGAATTCTTCCATTCAATGATTGTGACCACTTAGTGCTGTCTCAGTTCTGTCTATGTTGCCCTGTGACATTGGCCTAAGTGAACCTAAAAGTATGAATTTTAAGGTTAACATGTTCTTTATACAAATGATATGACACACACACTCAAAGTGATTCATCACAAGACACCTACTAATTATAATAGTTGCATACAAAATGCAATTTACATCACTAACCTCAGGCTTATTTCTGAGGTTGTTAAATTTAATAAAATGTAAAAGGTCAGACTCTAAGTTTTAATTGTTTTAATCATCATTTTTAATTTTCATACAGTTCTATTCTTTTTTACCCATATGCTATATTTTAGCCATGGCATTAATAGAGAAAAATATTCTAATTCTGACCCTTCAGGTAGAAATAAGTCATCATCTACTTTCACAACTGGCTTGTAATTAATGCCCATATTCTAGCAGGGATGTTTGCATTTATAAAATTAGTATGACATAACATTTAAACTCCTAATAAATTAAAAATTAATGGAACATGTTTACTCTGATATCAATATGATTTTAGTGATTCTATATTTCACTTTCTACTCCCATAAAGAGTGTAAGTCTCAGAAATCCACAGAGAGTAGTTCTACCCTGTCCTATATGATTGCTAAGAGACGGCATCAATGCTATGGTAGTGAGGTGTTTTATATATATATTGTTTTGTTTAATTATTTTACTTTAAAGTAAAGGGCTCTTACAATTATCATTGGCTAAATTGCTATCAATTATGAGTAAAATATAGACCACAAGAATGGGTAAATTTCTTGTAACAAATTAAAAGGAAAACATTCATAGAAGGACTTGTCACTATAATCTATTCATGAGGATGTACATTTAGATAGACCCATGTTAATGGATGGCAAAGGGTAAAACAAGCATTAGAAATCTCCACTCTGGACTGACATTGAACATGAAATAGTAAAGGAGATAACCCAACTTTTAGAAAAAAAATATGGTTAAAATAAAATACATTATTCTAAAACAAGTAGTAATGGGCTAGTATGATTTTAGACTTCAAGATATGGAACAAAAAAACCCAATAAAATGTGATTTTGATTGGTATCATTTGATTTGATCATATGAGGGAAATAATAATTATAACTTGAAAAATAATGTTCACGTTGAAGTTTGAGTAAGTTAAAAGTGGCTACTTTTCAAAATCATCAGTCAGTGTAAGACATGAAAAAATAATAATTTATGAATTATAGAGAGTGAGGGAGGCAGGGTGGGGGAGAAGGGAAAAAAAACTGAGGAGCTGATACCAAGGGCTCAAGTAGAAAGAGGATGCTTTGAAAGTGATGGTGGCATCATACGTGCGAGTGTGCTTGACACAATGGATGTATGTGTGGGTTGTGAGAAGCGCTGTACGAGTCCCAAGTAAAATGATTTAAAAAAAAAAAGAAGAAATCTCCTTTCTAAAACACAATACTATCCAGGCCAACTACTTTGTGAAATACTTCCTGTTATTTACATATTTTGTGTCGTGAAGCTACCTTTTGGCATAGGAAGACAGTAATTAGAACATAAATCTTTTCGAGTAGAACACCAAGACCAAGAAAACAGAACAAGTTTACCAACAGTAAATTAGTAGAGTTCCCCGTAACAGGCAGGCTGTGTAAGCCTTCCACTCGGTGTGAGGCCAGTTTACGTAATGACGCAGTACGACTGCGATACCCGGTATTACAGTTCATGAATCTTTGGCTCCATTATTAAGAAGCAAGCACATGCTGTGTCCTCTATAGCAACACTACCATTAAAATAAATGGTGTCATCATATTTAGAATGGTTTAAAATGCTTTTTCCAATTTCTTCCAGTCATTTATATAGAGATTAAATGATATATCTTATCTTTACAGAGATCAGAGAGATCTTACTGGCCAGTTATTAGATATACAATTATATTTGAAATCCCTCTCAAAGACTTCTTCCTAGGCATTTTAAAATAAATGAATTTTCCATGACTTTTGTATCGTGGAGAAGTGCCAAGTATACTGATTGCTTTGGCAGGCATGACAATTACACTTGAGAACACTTTAGTTCTAGTGTGTGTTTATTAAATTTCAAATACTCATTTTCACATCAAATATAATGTTGTGTTTAGTTTTGTGAAAATGAAGTATATTTGTTAAAGTCCAGGCTATTGTGTTATATTGGTTAATTAGGATTAGTATGTGACACAAAAGGTTGCATTTTTTGAATAGAAAATGATTTGAATAGATAATGATTTTAACAAACAAACCAAGAAACAAACAAAACCATCACTGGTGACATTGGCCATGATTCAATTTGGGCAATGTAAAAAGATTGCTTTCTACAGGTTTTAATCCTGGCCAGTGTGACCAGTTGTGGTTTTGTTTGTTTTTAATTGACACTGCTATTTTAATACCTGCAGTTACCCTTGGCCATTCACCTATTTGAGAAATAAAACACAGATAGATGTAATACAACTTAAACTGCTGACTCAGCAACCCGATGTGCAAGAGAATGCAAAACTGCCCTGGACTAAACCATCCTGGTGCCCTTCTCCAGGGACTAATATCCATCTCCTGACAACATGTCCAAAGTACTTGAGACAAAGTGTCACTATCCTTGACTCTAAGGAGCTTTCTGAGTTTAATTCTTCCAAGACAGGCTTACTTGTTCTTTGGCAGTCCGTGATACTTTCAATATTTGCTGCCAGCACCATAATTCAAAGATATCGATCCTTCTTTGGTCTTCCTGATTCAATGGTCAACTTTCACTTGCGTATGAGAAGATTGAAAACACCATGGCTTGAGACAGGTTGACCTTTAGTCGTCAAAGTAACACCCTGTCTTGTGCCAGCAGATATATCTAGTAGACTGCATCATGGGATCTCTCGACTGCTGCTTATATGAGCATTGATCATGGATTCAAGCAAGACAAAATACTTCAAAACTGAAATAATTTCTCTGCTTATCATAATGTTACCTTTGGGATGAGTTGTGAGGAGTTTTTCCCCTTATATTGAATTGTAAGCCATACTTTAGGGTGCAATCCTTGATCGTCAGCAGCAAATGCTTCAAGGCCTCGTCAGTGTTACCAAGCAAGGCGGTGCTATCTGCACCTGCATATTGCAGTTTGCTAATAAGCCTTCAGACAATCTTGATTCCATATTTGAATTCATGTAATCTAGTTCCTCAGCCTAAAGACAGAAGAAATATGGTGAGAAATACAACCCTGATGTAGAGATTTCCTGATTTTAAACTATGCAGTATTCTGTTTGCACAACTGCCTCTTGATCCATGTACAAGCTTGACATAAGCCTAACGATTGTTCAGGAATTCCGATTCCTTTCAAAGATATTCATAGTTTTCATATTCCAATTCCACTCAAAGATATTCACAGAGTGAAGTGCCATTGCATAGTCAACAAAAATCAAGTAAACCTTTTTCTGGGAGTCTTGGCTTCAGTCAAGATTCATCTGACGACAGCAATGATACCTCTTTGTACATGGCCTCTTCTGAATCCAGCTGGGACCTTTAGGAATTTTCTGTCAATGGTCTGCTGCAAATATTTTTAGATTATCTTTAGCAAAATTTTACTTGCAAGTGATATTAATGATGTTTTCCTATAATTAGAGCATTCAGTTGGAATGGGTATAAATACAGATATCTTTCTGTCAGTTGGCCAAGTAACTGTCTTCCAAATTTCCTGTCATGACTGAGCGATTGCTTCTCGTGCTACATCAGCTTGTTGAAACATTTCAAATGTAATCCATCACTACCTGGAGGAGGTTTTAAGTGTCTGACAATTTTTGATGTGATCCACACAGTTTTCAGTAGCTAATTCCTCAGACATGGACAGCCTCTTCCTTCTTTGTAGTTTGTTGAAAATTATCTACTTTGGGTGACTCCACTGTTATATGAAATACCAGTGCCAAAACTTCCAGCATCACAGCAATACATAAACTGTCACAGTATAATGAAATGAGGAATGGTGGAAACTTAAGTCTAATACACAAATTTGAAAAATGCATATGCATCCCAAACTATCTAAATTAGTATGTTATATAAAAGAGTCATCAGTGGGAGCGTATGGCTGAGATAACTCACATAGATGCAGAAATACTACTTATGCTCTTATTCATGATTGGTTTCAATCGTTTCCTGTAATTTTTAAATTAAGTTTTCCTCATTCATTTGATCTTATTTTACATGTAGGAAATCACACAGGAAAATTACCTGTCAAAATGAGCATTCTGCTAAGGTCAATTAGATATTTGCTGATATTTAGTATTACCTCTTTGAAATAAACACTGGGTCACTAATGATTTTTCTCTCTCTCCCTGTCAGCGGACTGTGGTGGACCTTTTGAACTGTGGGAACCAAATACCACATTCAGTTCTATGAACTTCCCAAACAACTACCCCAATAAAGCTTTCTGTGAGTAATTTGTTTTCTAGGACATCAGGAACCAATGACACATGTCACGATTATACATATGGTGCCATGCCAAAATAAATTATAAATGTGTCAAACATGGCCATATGTAACAAAGCTAGGATATATCTTATTACAGTGATAACAATAATTGCTAACATAGCTAACATTTTCTAACATTCATTTATGCTACACTGCGCTAGTTCTTAAAATATGTATTTAAAATAGATCTCATGATAATTCTTTTAAGGAAGTATTACTAGTATAAATTCTAAGTTTAAAAATGTTTTTAAAACATCTTATTTCAGATACTACTTTCTTTCTTTGCAACTCTCCTTTTTTGTGCATATAAGATATACTGGGTCTAAAATGAATTTGCAATTCCATGCAAAATAGTAGCAAGTACAAGAAATGAGAGACAATTTTAACCTCAACATATTTTGTATATCTAGGCTAGAGTGAGTAAGCAGTCTGGGTAATCTGATGATTACTAGTATAGAAGTGAAATAATGAGGATCACTGTAAAATCTAGATCTCGGGAAAATAGTTGGTTAAGACTGAACAAGAGCTATTTCTAGGTCAATGTTCTTACTCTGAGAAGTTCATTAGAAACGTATAGGGATTGTGTTAAAGATATAGATTCTCCAGCCCATCTGACAAAGGTTCTGCTCTAATAGGTCTATTTCAAGAATCAACAAAAAGTAAGAAGTGCTTAACTTGTACTAAGGCTACTAGTTTTGTTTCTTGTTCTTTGTTTCGTTTTCAAATTGTGATAACAGCACATAATATACAAAAATATATATGGTATGTGTAAGATTATTTGCAAGTTTTTTTTAAAGAAAAGAAAGAACATAATTTCACCTAGATTGTATTTAATAACTTCATCTTCTATTAAATTTTATTATAGAAAATAACTTCTGTATGGTAGGAGTAAGATAAGATTTTTTTAAATCATTTTATTGGGGGCTCATGCAATTCTTATCACAATCCATACATACATTTTTATTGAAATATTATATTCATTAAATAAAACAAATACAATGCAAGTAAAAGTTTCTAATTTAATTACATTTATTTTAATGTTATTAATTAAATGAATATATTTCCTCACAAAAATAACTTTTTGAAATATTAGTTTTCATGAAATGGAAAGTAATCCTGAAAGTGAAATACTCCAGAGGAAAAAACCTAGTAAGAGATATTAAATCAATTAGCTCTAAACTAATTATCGAATTGAATAATTGAATAAGGAAAACTAAAGAAGAATGGATGCATTTGAATGATGGTGCTAGTAAAGAATATTGAAATTACACTGAATTACCAAAAGGAAAAACAAATCTGTCCTTGAAGTAGTACAGCCAGAATGCTCCTTAGAATCAGGGGTGATGAGCCTTTGTCTCTCTTACTTGGGACGTGTTGTCAGGATGTCCAGTCCTGGGAAAGGACATCGTGCTTGGTCAAATTGAGAAGTAGGGAAAAAGACGAAGACCCTCAACAAAATGGATTGAAACAGTGGCTGCAACAATACATGGAAACATAACACCGATTGTAAGGATGGCACAGGGCCAGGCAGTGTTGTTTCAATTATATGGGAGCATCATCATTCAGAACTGACTCAACAGCACTCAACAACAGACTAATTATTCATATTCATTATTTTTAAGGTATTTGGAATTTAAATGCACAAAAAGGAAAAAACATACAACTTCATTTTCAAGAATTTAATTTAGAAAACATTGCAGATGTAGTTGAAATGAGAGATGGTAAAGAAGATGATTCTTTACTCATAGGTAAGTTTGAATATCTGCAATTTGAATATTGTGCTAAAAAGAAGACTGTGTATCTTAAAATGATAGATCATTTCTCCATAAATGTAATCAGGCTTTTAAAATCAGAAAAATACACACATGCTAGTAGAAGAATAGGTAGAGTTTATATGATAGTTTAAATGTGATGTCTCCAAAATCAAACTAGTGACTTATTGAAACGGCCGTTATAAAAATGGAATTTGAGGTATCACTTGATTGTAGCTGCAATATAAGAAAATTTAGTTTTTATAATATGGCCTTCTCTGGTACTTGCATCCATGAAGAGATCCTTGAAGACATGGGTACCATAGAAAAATGAGGTGAAGAAACTAGATCGTGCCAGGCTATCATGAATAATAATGTCTAGGGTATTAAAGGCTTGTCTCAAAGTAGGCAGTCATCTAAGTTAGGAGTTAGCTAAGTCTACACTGAAGAAGCACACCAACCTGTATGATGCAAAGATAGCTAACATTAAGATCCAAACCTGGCAAAGGTATTGGAATCAGTACCAAATCCTAAATACCTGGATTGCAGAAAACTATAGAAACCCTGGAGGTGTGTAGTAGTTATCTGTTGGGCTGCCATCTTCCTGGTCTACAGTCCAAAGCCACCAGCAGCTCTGGGAGAGAAAAACTGGTCTTTTTATTCCTATGTATAGCTATAGCCTCTGAAACCCACAGCAGAGAGTTTGGTTTTGGTAAGATAACAGTAGTAGCTCAAAACGAGCCTGCAGAGAATCCCCAGTACACAATGGCTAGAAATGACAATAACCCCCAAATTACATCATGAGCATTGTAAAGAGACGTTTAGCAACTGTACTGAGTCCAGTATGTAACATTTTGTAATTTGATCTCCATGCAGACCCAATATGGATTTATTCTGAACTTTTAATATTCTCGCTTTCTATTAGATTAAAATCTCTATCAATTGTGTATGGCCATGTTGATGGATCCTTGTTGGTGACTTTCACAGTCTTGTATATCTATCTGTAGAGGGAAACAGGGATTGAAGGAAATACAGAAATTGTAATGGGATTGATAATTACCAGGGAACACGGAGGGAACTGGAGAAGGAAATGGGAGATGAATATCAATGTATAAAAGACAGGAAATTTTTGTTTTAAAAACCTCCAATGTTGATTGCTATCATGATTATACAACCCTTCTCGATATGATTGAACCATGAAATCATATGACATGTTAATTATAACTGAAAAAAGAATGTGGAATAATGTTTACACTGGTGACTTTTTGGACTCTATTCACTCATAAGGATTAATTTTTTTGAACAATTAATTTCTTTAATTTCAGTAAGTGGATAGGGTCTTGAGACTAAAAAGCTAAGGCTAGGCATTATGCAGTTGCCTTTGATTACCATACATCAGATATCTACAGATTCCCATTAGGTCTGTTTTTTCAAATTAACCAAATATATTATGTGTTTGAAACACACATTTCTAGAATAATTTTTGCTGCATCATATTTTCTTATTATTTGCATTTGTGTATCTCTCATAATGAGTGCTAATATATGCATATGTGAAAGTGATTAAACATTGATCAGAGTTGATTTGATGAAATTGTCTACTGATAATTATTTTTAATGCAGAAATAAGTGTACTTTTTGAGAAGAGAGAATTATTGTACCTAGATCAGAAAATACATAACTGACCTTAAAAATATCTTACTTAATTATAGTATCTAATATGCTAATTAGCAAGTAATTGATTTTTGAGAAAGAAGAGGATTTTTGCAAGTCATACATTAAATTAGAACAGTGCTGGAAGGGTTAAACGACATACATAAGACAATGCATTTAAGTGCTTTATCTAAACGTGTTCTGGGCTCATATCAACCACATCTTATAAAATCTATCATGTTAGTCATTGAGATACAATCACATGAACACTAGATAACTAAAGACTCCCACAGAAACATTTGACAGCACATGAAGAGATCAACAGTACAGAAGTTTCCCCAGCCACACGATCGGTTACCCTTTAGATTAGGATTTTTAGAATAAAACCAAGTGCAATTTACTAGAGGAAGTTTGGGGCCCACACACTTAACAAATGGAATTCAGCCATCAAAGTTTCTAAAGTGCTAGAACTCCAGGGAGAGGTACCTTCAAATGAGGCTTTTATATACAAATCGATTTATATGTTTCTGGTAGTTTTCTCATTCCTATGTTATTTGGTCTTTCTAATGACAATTTCAATGTTTTCATAATATAAGAAAACTCATTATCTCTAATTATTTATATAGTTAGTTAAAAAGTAAACAAGAATTTTGGAAGGATATCCTGAAATCTTTATTTTCACATGTATAGGCAAGGAGCTATTATTGTTTTCAGGGATTTCAATATATAAATATTTAAGAGTATTCATGGATTTTTAATTAACAATTTTTTAGTAAAGACTTTTTCATTCTTTATGAAGCCTGTAAAGCCAAAGATTAGTGGGGAAAAGTTTGAATTATTATTTAAATGTGTATTTTAAGTTTTTTTAATTAATTCATTTTCAGATTAGGTTAATTATTGACTCAAAAATTAGAAAATACTTTTAGGCCAAAATGTACTAAGGGAGACTATAATCTTGATTCCTTATGTTAATATTGGGTCCCATTGAGTCCATTCCAACTCATAGCAATCCCATGGAGCAGAGTAGAACAGAGATGTTTAATTGTTTGTTTCTTACTGTAATCCTAGTGGAAGCCAGTCACCCTCCCATGGAGTCATTGGGTGGGTCCAAACTCCCAGCTTGTTCTGTTAGCATCACCTCAAAACCAAGGCAGGTAGACCTGAACTGCAGTTTTGCAGTTTGAAGTCCAATATGTAACCCTCGATTACACCAGTCAAGTAATCCAACGATAAACCTCTGCAGCCCTTTGCAGAAGTCCAATATGAACCATGGTTCCAAGAAGAAAAGTCTAAACTATAGAATAACACACACTGTTTTACAAGTGCTGTTGCATGGGCCAAATTGCAGGTGTCCCAATGTCTAGAAGATGAACTTGAAATAAAAAGATCATCTCACTGATTTTCTTGTCTTCCTTTGGAGCAGCTGTGTACACAGGACCCGGACCAGTAAAGGATGTGTACTCTACCACCAATAGAATGACTGTACTTTTCATCACTAATGACCAAATGGCAAGAGGGGGCTTTAAAGCAAACTTCACTACTGGCTATCACTTGGGGATTCCAGGTAAGCACATCCAGGATTATATATCGCATAGCAATTTTTGGAGAAAAACCGTAAAATAATGTAGCATGTTAAGGCTAAAACCAGTATTTCATTATATACCATCTAAAATTTAATTCTTAATCTTAAAGGCAGATTTATTTTCTTCCTTTACACCTGTGTAAATATCATCTGAGTTTATTTAAAGCGGAAATCTGTGCTGTTTTCAGCAGATTTTCTATTCCAATCCATAAACTCTTTGTTGTTACATCATGCAATTTTGTTCATTTTGAAGTCTGTGCTTAAAGTTAAAGGTGGGGTACTTGGCACTTTCATGTCCCCCCTTTTCAGGTTATTTTAAAGCACTGGTGAAACAGCTATGTTAACTGTTTAAATGCCAAAAAATCAAAATAATAAATTAATATTCTTAACCTCTTAAGAGATAAGCCAATGTAAAGTTGTTGCAATGAAAAAATTCAATCACTATGCTTGCTGGCATACACATGCTTCAAAAAGTAGAGGGACGGTGAAAAAGTGAAGGCCCTCCGTGAGGTAGGCTGACACCGTGGCTGCAATGATATGCTCAAGTATAAGAAGAGTTGTGAGAATGATGCAGGACAGAGCAGTGTTTTGTTCTGTGATGCATGAGATTGACATGGGTCAGAGGTGACTGGATGACACCTAACAGGAACAGCACCAATAATATAATCAAAGGAACAAATACTATTGTGGGCTTCCCTTTATATGGGTATATAGACATATATATTTTTTTACATTTAATAATGTGCCCACATTTTGCTTCCAAAAGATCAGTTCGAACCCTGAGAGTATCCTGTAGAACACAAACCACAGATCACAGATGAATGGCTTCTACAGGGTTTTCTAGGAGTTGGGATTGATCCTTGGGAAGTGAAATTTGGACAAATATTTAATGTAAAAATTTATATATGGGTCTTTATATCCAACGAGCTGTTAGTCCACAGTAGTGCTTGTTGCTTTTGACTAGACAAAGAGGATCCTCAAAAAAACAGGATCTTTTTTCAAGATTTTGTATTTAATTTTTTGTTACAAAATAACCTTATCACCTTCAAAGTACTCTCCATTACACTTATAAATTTATGAAATCTACAATTAAATTCTTGGCAACATTATTCAAACACATCTGTTTGGATGGCTGACAGACCACCTTCATTTTATTCTTCACCCCTTCTATGTCATTAAATCACCGTCCTTTCATGTCCCCCTTCATGTGCTGAAACAATAAGTCTCCTAGACTGTGGTCCAGTGAGTAAAGTGCAGTGGACAAGAAAGGCATACTGGGTTGTTTGTTTTTTCTTACCAAAAACTGGCACAGTGGAATGACTGCAGGAGCAGTTGTATTATCATGGTGGCAAAACCAGTCCTTTGTCTGCCACAAATCAATCCTTTATTTTCACACACTGTTACACAATCTTATCAGAACCTTTAAATAGAAAGTTTGATTAACAGTCTGACCTGGTGGACGAACTCCAAATGCACTAAAAGTTGACATTTTTGTCTATTTGGGAAGTTGACAGATGTCCAGAATGAGGTTTGTCATCAACCGACTTTTCACCTTTTTTTGAAACAAGAAACCACTCATACACTTAAGTTTTTCCCATAGCACTGTCCTTGTAAGCTGTGTTCAACATCACAACAGTTTCTGCAGCATTTTTCTTAATCAGAAAACAAATTTCACAGGCACACGCTATTCTTTTAAATTAGCCATCACGAAAAAAGGAGGTTCAAGAGAAACTACTTTTATGGAAAAATTCACTGTGATCACAGAGAAACTTCCCAGGGGATTTCATGGGTGCACTAACTCACAGTGAGTTGCTCAATGCTTGGGGAAAATGTGTGCTCCACTCTGCCCAGTATGATTCAGGTTTATTGATATAGCACTGTATATACAAGTTTAAAATTGTGTATGCTTTATGGAAGGGGGCCCTGGTGGCTTACTGGTTACATATTGGGCTGCTAAATAGAAGGTCAGTAGTTCAAAACCACCAACCCCTATATACAGGAAAAAATATGAGACTTTATATTTCTGTAAAAAGTTTCAGTTCAGAAACTCACCAGGCCATTTCTACCCTCTCCTATAATGGTCACAGGGAGTCCGCTTCGACTTGATGGCAATGAGTTTGTTTGTTTTTTATGGAAGCAGACTAACATGTTTCTACATTTTGTTAGGAAGACAAAATACATGTTTTTTTTTTTTTTTTTTTTGAGTGACCAAGGCCCCACCTGCCCAGAGCCAGACTAGTCACTGCCTCTGTACAGATGCTTTATTAGGTAGTGGGGGAGGGAATACATGTTTTTTTTTAATGGAAGCAGACTAACATTTTTCTACGTTTTTTTAGGAAGACAAAATACGTGTTGAACCCTACATCATGCTTTGCTTTACTACTGAGGTTGTGATCAATTTGTTTGTGTCTTTGTGTTTGTTGTCTGTCTGTCTACTTATTTGTGATTAGCTGCTAGATGCCTAGCCAAAAAATAGAGTGAGATGATCTTCATTTGGCCGATTATCCAATCCTACATCCAAAAGTGAAATTAAATATGTTTGCCATATATACTCGAGTATAAGCCAACCCGAATATCAGCCAAGGCACCTAATTTTACCACCAAAACTGCATTAAAAATCTGCTGGAAAACTCGGCTTATACACGAATATATATGGTATATTTCTTCCTACACTCAAAACTGGCCTATACTTTAACTATAAACCAGGTAGGGTACTATGTTTTTAACTGTTCAGTAAATAAAGAAGCTCATTTATAATCTAACCTGATAATACCAAAAACAAAAGACAGAATAAACAAACAAAAAATCCACACCCATTGTCATCAAAACATTCTAAATTACAGTGACCCTCTATCAAAGGTCCTTTTTAAAATAGTTTTATTGGCGTATAGTTCACATGTCATGCAACTGAGTACTTTAAGAATATCAAGAGCAGTTGCTATGCTATAATCACCACAATCAATTTTAGAAATTCGGTTTTCCTGGGGTGGCATCTTTCTTCCAATGAATAGCTGGTGGTTTTAAACTGCTGACTTTGCAGTTAGCAGACCCATTTTCAACCACTATATCATCAGGGTTCCTCTTAATAAGCCTCCTTAATTTTGAGATTTATTTGTGGATTCTCTGTGGCCATTGTAACAATATCATTTTGAATTGAATTGTTTGGATTCTGTCCCTTGGGGATTTTATTGCTGCTGATTTTTTTAGGAAATCCATATTTGTGTAACAATATTTTACCTACTATCTATTGTGTTTTTTTCTCTTTTTAGTAAGCCCACTATTTTAATTTAAGATTAATTGAATATCTTATTTATATTACATTCATAATTACTTTTTTGACGTTATCAATCTTGCCCTCAAGATGCAAATTAGATATGGACAAGGGAAATTTTATGTTTTATATTTGGTGTTTTTAAGATAAAACAGGCTTTGGATATGTTTTGCTTGATGTATTGGTTCCTTGTTATATTAAAAATGATATAGTAAGAGCTTTGAAAAATAATATAAAATATAAAGTAGTTTTACCATTATTTCATACTGGAAATTATGGCCTTACCTTAAAAAAATAATAATAAAATACAATTGCTGAGTGTCCCCTTAAGTGCTATTAAACTGTACTCATCATTGATAGAGGAATTTCAAGCTGAAACAATGTCACAACCAGATTATTTTTTCTGATTTGATTTGTGGTCTATTTTAGTACTATTAACTACACACTTATTATTTATTTGGATAATTATTCAAAAAAGATGGTTCTAAAAATGTCCATATGTTTACAAAATTACTACAACAAAGCATTAAAAATATACAAGACAAAGAAAAAGATCAAGAATGAAAATAATAGATAAAGAATTAAAGCAAGAGTTTATAATGAACATGCAGGAAAGATTACAAATAACAGCCATTTATAAAGGGGAACCCACCATTCAGTTTTTTGTTTGTTGGTTTTTCATCATCCTGCAATTTACTCATTTTACTAAACATTATATGGTGGGGAGTTATCCTTGCTGGTACAAAGATCATTGTTTTAGCTGCCAAATAGAATTCTATTATGTGAAACATCAAAATTTATATGCTACTCTGTTGATGGACGTTCAGATTCTTTCAATAACTTTTCAAAATTAAAAAAAAATCATTTTATTGGGGGCTCATACAACTCTTATCACAATCCATACATACATCAATTGTGTGGAGCACAATTTTACATCCATTGCCCTCATCATTCTCAAAATATTTGCTCTCCGCTTAAGCCCTTGGTATCAGCTCCTCATTTCCCCCCTCCTTCCACGCCCCCCCTCCCTCATGGACCCTTGATAATTTATAAATTATTATTATGTCATACCTTACACTGTCCGATGTCTCCCTTCATCCACTTTTCGGTTGTCCATCCCCCAAGGAGGAGGTGATATGTAGATCCTTGTAATCAGTTCCCCTTTTCTACCCGAGCTTTCCTCCACCCTCTGGTATAGCCACTCTCATCACTGGTTCTGAAGGGATCATCTGTCCTGGATTCCCTGTGTTTCCAGCTCTTATCTGTACCAATGTACATCCTCTGGTCAAGCCAGATTTATGAGGTAGAATTGGAATCATGACAGTTGGGGGAAGAAACACTTAAGAACTAGAGGAAAGTTGTATGTTTCATCATTGCTACCCTGCACCCTGACTGGCTCATCTCCTCCCCACAACCCTTCAATAAGGAGGTGTCCAGTTCCCTACAGATGGGCTTCGGGACTCCACTCTGCACTCACCCTCATTCACAATTATATGATTTTTTGTTCTTTGATGCCATAGTTCAAATGCATCAATTTTTCTTCAGTCTTCCTTATTCAATGTCCAAATTTCACATACATGCAAGACTATTGAAAATAACTTAGGTTGAGTCAGGCACAATTTTCCTCAAAGTAACATCCCTTCTTTTCAACACTATAAAGAGGTTTTGGGTAGCACATTTACAGAATCATTTGTGTCATTTCATCTCTTGA